TTCAATATTTCTACAAGTTCTTTGTGCTAATTTAGGGTAGCAGAAAAACGTAGGAGAACCATGTTTCGCACGCATTCTAGTAGTATTCCATGATATCGTGATGACGTTAGCAAAGACGCAGTTTGTTTACTTTCTCATTAACTTAAATATGTACCTTCTACCAATTTTGTTGACCGTGGTCGTGGAGTAATTACTATGTACTTGTATACAAAGAACGTACACATTTTACTTAGCCATTGGCTCGCAAATTTAGATCAAAAGGAAAATTTGTTATTTAATGCCTTTTGAAATTACAAAGGTCATTATCTCTCGCTCAGCTTGTAAATATCCTACAATTTTGACTGCTCATTTTCAGGGTGCTTGGTTTGGAAATTAGAGAAACGTGATGTTATAAAGTGTGTAAAAAAACACGTTAAAATCACATTTTACTCCCACAGGTCGCTCGCTCTAAGTCCCTTAACACCTTTTAAATCCTTAAAGGACGCTTTACACTTAATTAACATTTCTGTAAATGAGTTGCGAAGATGTTGGATAATCTTTTTAATCTGGCATGAGTTTTCGACGTTCATTAGTTGCAATAATCGTATTTTAAATCGGCCCACTATTTGGATAAGAGAATATTAAAAACAATATACTTACAGGGAATTTTTCTTAAATGTCTATATACAGTGTGTACATTTTCACTCTGAACGCACAAAATCCGCCCTATGTTCAATTCAAGTCAAATACTTACCCCTAAAGGTATGCAACCAATCTTACATACTTTCATCTTTTTCAAATGTTTTTCAGTAAACGTCAATGTTGATGATTATGAATTATCTACTCTTCCTTACTTTGCACTTAATTATTGTGAGGGGTGCGGTTTACGGCGCGTAGGTACTCGTTTCCCTGGTTGATTAGAAGCCATACATATATCTCACCACGGATTTATCGAAAACTACTGAAAAAACGACGAGACGCGTCAAAAGATTTGTCAAGGGGGACAACTTTCTAAGCAAAACCTACTTCACCCTCTGCTCCCAGAGTCATTCAAGTAATAGCTTGTTTGAAAGTTCTTTCGAAGTTTTTTGATTTAACGTTTGATTTTTTTAAATCGGTCATTTTCGAGAAAATTAGAAAAATCTTTGTTTAATCGACCTATCTTAGTTTATTCAGATAGAAAACAAAAACAAACGATAATATCACTTGTTTGTTGCTATGAGAAAGAAATAATTTTATTTGCAGTTAGTTACCTTTGTATAATTAGAATAATTTCCACTTTTTCGGCTAGTGTGTAAACCATTTTGGAAGTAAAATCTGAATCAATAAATTAATATTCACTACCCCAAGATTGTCACAAAGGTAACTAAGGCAATCTTTCCCATAGCAACAAATAAGTGATATTTTCGTTTGTTTTTGTTTTCTATCCGAACAAGTTCATTCAAGTTAAATAAATAAATTAAATAAACATTTTTTTAATTTTCTCGAAAACGAATCGGCCGATTTTAAAAAATCAAACGTCAAAATAAAGGACTTCGAAAGACCTTTCAAACAATTTATTACTCGATACGACTTCTCATTTAAAATGTTTAGGGGAATGGCCCTGGGGGGCAGAAGGTAAAAGGGGTAAAGTAGTTTTTGGTTAAAAAGTTGTCCGTCTTGACAAATCTTTTGACGTGTCTCGGCGTTTTTTCCTTTAATCAGTGGTTTTCGATAAATCCGTGGTGGGAGGTTTTCAAATGAACACCCTGTATACCTCACGAAACATTTAACCGTTAGCATTTTTGAGGTTACGAATTATCTCCTGAAAATCCTCTTTGCACTTACTTTCTATGCTACGAGGGTTGTCAATTTTGCGGTGCAATATATTTTTTCTCGCCCTTAAGGGGACTATAAGCGACCCTATAAACGTAACAACCAGGGGCGGACTGGCCCGGGAGGGCGGGTGGCGATTGCCACCTGTCCTGTAGGTCATATTGGCCCGTTGGAAATTTATAAGTCTGTGCTGTATTGAGTTTCTTGCACCTTATTAATAAATTATTAACACGTTTCTCTCATTGGGGTTGATTTTAGGTTGTTCATAAAAAAATTCTGTTTTTATTGAAGTGTTTTACAATGAATTTATCATTTTTTGTCGTATTTTAAAATGGCTGAAACACAATTACAAGCGACGCGCCTCGTTTGGATTATGTATAGTTTGTTACTTTTAATTATCAGCCGCAATAAAAAAAACTATAAATTCTAATTGATTTTAGAGAAAGGAATACTTTAAAATGGAATGAAGCAAAAAGCAGAGCTTCCCCCCCCCTTCCCCATTTTCATTACACTACTTTTTAATGGCCCGTAGCCTATGCAATTCCACCTGGCCCGTAAGTAACAACAAGTATAAATTGTGCACAACTCTTGTTTTGACATCACCAATGGATATATTGCTTGTAGACGTCTCAATCGCCCTTTGTGAGTTCCCTCTTCCGATAATCCGTTCTTGAGGTATAAGGGAATATACCCGATCACGATAAGAGTTCGAGGAGGAGGGCTGTGGTTGGTAGAAATTAATTCCTTTCGTTGAGACCTTTCTTTAGAGTACGATGAGAGATATCATTAATTTTTAACTTCCCCCCCCCCCCTCAGGCCCCGTCGCTCACTGATCTCTAAAAAGAGTCGCAGAGGAAGGTGATAGTTTGTACAAACCAATTTATTTCGATGAGACCTTTCATTAGAATACCATGAAGGGTAGAACATGTGTTTACACGCACTTTTACTTTCAAAAACAGCATCTCAGGAAATAATTAGTGGGGGGGGGGGGTTAGACACCGAAATTTAATGGCCATCTGGCACACCTTCAAGGAGTAGGGTGCCTACTGCAAAAAAATTCCAGGACTCTAGGACCATTCCCCTAGAAGTAGTTCAAAACGGCTGAAGTCGGTCCAGACAGACGGACGGACAAAACGCAAACAATAGCACATTTTTTTATTCTTAAAAAATGCGCTAAAAAATGCAGGCCTTTGCTTTGTTTAACATTTGGGGCATTGTCAACGCATTTGGTCATTGATTATAACGTACGTGTATAATCAATGATTTGGTGTACATGTACATACATCACATTGATCAGTGTACTATTCATCTCAATGTAAAAGGAAAAATTATTTCACTTTATCTCGTTTCTACTATGTTGTGGCCGTCTGCCCGCTCCAAAAAAGGTAAAAGGTACTGACTATGAATAAATTGGATAAATAAAGTCACTGAATATAGAAAGTACCGCAATCCATTGGGCTCGTGTGTTAGAGAGAGAACGCATGATTTTTGCCCAAAAATGGCGGAAGTTACCAGATTTTAGTAACTTTAATGCTAGGAATTGTTCCACCTGTTTGGAGATATCTGTATATACCGGGTGATTCATTAGAAGTAATGAACGCTTGAATTTCGCGCGTAAGGTTTTAGTATTTTTTGCATTGTTAGATTGACGGTTTGAATTTCGTTAGTAATTTTTTTCTGTCATGACTGTCATTTAAGAAACCAGTGTCGCCGTTAATTGTTGTGTGCCATTTGCGGTTTATTACTTTTTCCATTTTGAACAATTTTTAGAGTTGATGCACTAAAATATGTAAGAAACGTGACTGTGTCTAGTGTTAGTTTTGGTAGTTGTGGTAAAACAGAAGCAGTATTTGTAGATTTTAAATAAGTAAACGATTTACTGAATGCATGGTGATACACCACTGCAATTAAATAAATGATCATCAGTTAGTACCACCTTCATAATTTTTTTGATTTGCGGGAAATTCAAATTGTCCTCACTTCTAATGAATCACCCGGTATTTTTATAAAACATGACAGTAGTATGAAGTTAGGTTATAAAAAATGACAGGTATTCAGATTTTATTTGTCAATTTTTTTAAGTTGGCAGCAAATTTCCCCAAAAATGGCGGATGATTGCGGTACTTTCTATATCTAATGACTTTATGGATAAATAAAGTCACTAGATATAACGGGCGATCAAAAATGAGTTGCTGTCGAGTTGCCTTTGGAAGTTCAAGTTAAATACGATTTTCCATGTAAACAAAAATTCCAAAGGTAACTCGACAGCAACTCATTTTTGATCGCATTGTAGAAAGTACCGCAATCATCCGCCATTTTTGGGCAAATTTGCTGCCAACTTAAAAAAATTGACAAATAAAATCTGAATAGCTGTAATTTTTTATAACCTAACTTCATAGTACTGTCATGTTTTATAAAAATATATACAGATATCTCCAAACAGGTGGAACAATCCCTAACATTAAAGTTACTAGAATCTGGTAACTTCCGCCATTTATGGGCAAATATCATGCGTTCTCTCTCTAACACACGAGCCGAATGGATTGCGGTACTTTCTATATTTAGTGACTTTATGGATAAATAACTTACACTGGCATCTAACGGTAAACAATGGAATCGCTTAATTTTATCTTACTGCTATCTTACTATTGAGCGCAGGTACCTACATTATTACCAGGTCCCAATTAAGATTTACTGGCACATAGGTCGCTAAATAAGATACTGATTTCAAATTTAATTTTATTCTATTTTTAATTCACAGGGATGCTAATATTGGCCATATGAATAAAAGTAAGCAAATGCTTATACTTGCAAAATTCAAAGTAAATACTCGTAAGTGCCCCTTCATACTGGTTTGTTTAGCAGCGCTGCACTGCGTCCTGTCCTGCTGCTTAGCAAAATCCACCATTCTGCTTCTATGAGGGGTGTTAATTTTGCAACGCAATAATTTTTCTTGATTAATTATACTTAATTGGTTTATCATGAACCCTGTGAACGTTGAAAATGAACTTTTCGCAGTTTTGAAATGATAATCCACCCTTACTTTATACTTACGTATGGTGACGTTTTCTGTGCCAATGCCAGTCCTAGTGTCCGTAATAATATGCCTAGGTTTTGTGATAGATCTTGTCTACCCCGGCTGTTTTGGCATTGAACCTTTTTCCAAAAAAATTATTAATCCAATTGCCAGTAAATCAAACTCCATATTTCTTTTGCATTTTGGATTATATTTAGGTAATCTTTGAATATCTTCTGAAATGCTTTAAAATTCGACAAAAACAACTGGGTAGGTACCTATACAAACTGCAAACACAAACTTTTAACATTTTCCAGATCTTAAACTGTAAGAGAACACGCAGAAAGTAGCTTTCAAAACTCAAATATTCTCGTAATAAATCAGTTAAATTTTGAATCGGATCTACGCCTACACTCTCATCCTAAGCCTTTATAACTACAATTTCGGATTCTTATTTTAAAAGAATATTTTATAATCAGATTTCTTAAACATGTACAACTGCTCATAAGAGCTATTTTTAATTCCAGTAAACTGGGCGGGGTAGTTATAGATTAGGGATTTCTGTTCAGATTCCCAATCATTAAATGAGTGACTGTTCCTTCGTGTCTCTTCCACAAACTCATTAGCCAAATATTGCGAAACAACTACGGCATTTTTCGAGTGTGGAATATTCAAACTGTCCTTGAATTCAAACATGTTCTTCTCCGGGTGAAACTGAACGCCATAGAATGGATAATGTTTGGACTCGTAACTTGATATAAACTCTAATCCGTTAATATCTCTGTTGGTAGATAAGATGACCCAATCCTTTTCCAAGCCGAACTCTTTCAGGCCCTTTTCGGTGACGCAAAACTGATGGTAATTGTAGGTGACGTTTTCGTTTAGTAAGATTTTGATCACCTCCTTGGGAGCGCTGCCAAACGTTCGGCTTGATTGAATATCTAGAAACTGAGTGTGAGTCGCAGTCAAAAGGCGGTCGCCAACTTTACCCTTTCGAAACTCCAAAGGGAGTGAAACCTTCTTTGATAAGCACGCTTCTCTAACTTCTCGTTGGCCTAATCCATTGGCGACCTCAATTAACAATTCCATTCCCAAACAAATACCCCAGATCGGGTAATAGTCGCCATTGCGGTTCCTTTCTAACGCCACATCATATATCATCTGCCCAGCTTCTGCGTAACCGCAACTTTGATTGAAGTAGGTGGCACCTCCCGGAAACAACATCCTGAAATTGAAACATCTAAAATAGCACTTCCGGTCCATTTACCCATACCCATTGGTGCACTCAACAACCTTACGGTAGTATTCCTCATCCTGTCCAATCCTAAAACAGTAAAAGTTAATCAAATTGTTTGGTGCATTTCACTCACCAAATGGGCACCACTCGTGCTCCGGCGCTCTCCAATAGTTTCACATACGAGGCGGCGATAAAACTATGGTAATCCTCATCAGGAAAAAGGTGTTTCACTGAGTATGTTTCTTGTGATAGAATTCCGATGATTGGAACCTCGGTGCAAGCGCAAAACGATAGAAGCGCACACAGCACCGCAATTATCAGCTTCATATTGAGAATGTAAATGGGTGTCATCCACTTCAATCGCTTGTTTTATAACTAGCAACGGTAAATTGATAACAAAATTATCTGTTATGATAAGTTGGGCAACGTCACACTAAAACCAAGACATGTAGGCACTAAGTTTCGGCACAGATTTAAATATACTAAATCTGAGTAATAACCTTCCTTTTTTACCAAAAATCGACTGCACCAAAATTTCTCGGGAAAACACTTTTTCTTATTAATTTTGGTGCGTAGAATCCAAACAATTCGTACTTTTTCGATCAGACTTCTCAATCAAAAGTTATAGACTAGAAACCAATTTCGAAAGAAAATTCAAAGGGCTGTAACTTTTGTAACCTTTTCCATAAGTTTGTCGACAAGTAACAGGTGTAGTATTAGGAAAAGAAACACCTCCTCGCACATCATATGATCCCGATACAGAATGGCAAATTTTTAAAACGAAATTAAGCTTTGAAATAGCTCTCATAGTGATAGAAAAAGACCTCTTCGTGAATTCTGTTCTCCTAGTAGGAAGACACCTTTTACGTAAGTTCATCTACAAAGAACAGGTGTATTTGGGACTGAAAGACCTCCTTTCACTTTATATCTTCCTGATACTTACCAAATTTGTAAGTGTTTTCGGCAAAGTGCGAAGGACCAGGTGCTTATTGTACTGTAATCTTCAGTTTTGTTATTGGGGAGGAAAATAAAGTACAACTTCTGTAAATAATTTTTATATTGAAAACAGTACAAACAAAATAAACGCATATTCTGTTCCGAGTGAATCTTAAGAGTAAATGCAGCCTATGGTTAGCACAGAAATCTGGTATCAGGAGAATAATAATGTGCGAGGAGATCGAAGGTTAAAATAAAATTTTAGTGAGGTTAGGTTAGCGTGCTAGTTAGGTTAGCTCAGAAATCTGGTATCAGGAGAATATAATGTGCGAGGAGATCGAAGGTTAAAATAAAATTTAAGTGAGGTTAGGTTAGCGTGCTAGTTAGGTTAGCTCAGAAATCTGGTATCAGGAGAATATAATGTGCGAGGAGATCGAAGGTTAAAATAAAATTTAAGTGAGGTTAGGTTAGCGTGCTAGTTAGGTTAGCTCAGAAATCTGGTATCAGGAGAATATAATGTGCGAGGAGATCGAAGGTTAAAATAAAATTTAAGTGAGGTTAGGTTAGCGTGCTAGTTAGGTTAGCTCAGAAATCTGGTATCAGGAGAATATAATGTGCGAGGAGATCGAAGGTTAAAATAAAATTTAAGTGAGGTTAGGTTAGCGTGCTAGTTAGGTTAGCTCAGAAATCTGGTATCAGGAGAATATAATGTGCGAGGAGATCGAAGGTTAAATAAAATTTAAGTGAGGTTAGGTTAGCGTGCTAGTTAGGTTAGCTCAGAAATCTGGTATCAGGAGAATATAATGTGCGAGGAGATCGAAGGTTAAAATAAAATTTAAGTGAGGTTAGGTTAGCGTGCTAGTTAGGTTAGCTCAGAAATCTGGTATCAGGAGAATATAATGTGCGAGGAGATCGAAGGTTAAAATAAAATTTAAGTGAGGTTAGGTTAGCGTGCTAGTTAGGTTAGCTCAGAAATCTGGTATCAGGAGAATATAATGTGCGAGGAGATCGAAGGTTAAAATAAAATTTAAGTGAGGTTAGGTTAGCGTGCTAGTTAGGTTAGCTCAGAAATCTGGTATCAGGAGAATATAATGTGCGAGGAGATCGAAGGTTAAAATAAAATTTAAGTGAGGTTAGGTTAGCGTGCTAGTTAGGTTAGCTCAGAAATCTGGTATCAGGAGAATATAATGTGCGAAGAGATCGAAGGTTAAAATAAAATTTAAGTGAGGTTAGGTTAGCGTGCTAGTTAGGTTAGGTCAAAAATCTGGTATCAAGATAATGTTCAAGGAGTTGATTGAAGGTTAGGTCAGATTAGTTTGGGCGTTTTAAATTTTTACAAATCTTGTATCTAACCTAACTCACATGAAACTTAACTCTCAAGTCTTTAAAATGATCACCGATTTAAAATTCTTATTTATTGTGGCGTACTCTTATGCCGATTTAACTCGTGTATTGCGAACAGATACTTTATTAAAATCGTCAAAAATCTAGGTATAGGTATACCAAAGAGGTACCTATACGGACGGCCGTCCGTTTACCCACCCTGTCCTTTGGCATTCCAAAAACGCTATGACGCAAAGGAATAGGCTATAATACAGGAGCGAAATGTTTAATTTTCGAGTTTCGTGGTTTACTCCTTTGACAGCGAAATTCACAAATCCCAAAATGTTGATAGCCTTGCCTGAGTTTTTGGTTAATATTAAAATAATCAAAGCAGAATACATTGTGCTGACATCTGTCTTTATTATTGGGGACTAACATTTTATCGCTAAATGCAGGACACTTTATTACCACCATTATTTTAGTTGGAACTTACACCTCAAAGATGTCGTCACACTAATTTAGTGATGTACTTTATGAAACTAACGTTAGATGTCAGAGCTCTGTTTATAAAAACATAGATATATAAATACATAGATACAGCCATACACCAACATAGTTCAAAAGGACGTACCATCTATTACCATCACTTTCGGCACATTAATTACGTATAGCGCTATCCTTTATAGAGGGACCCTGAGCATGGAAGACAAGATTCGCATTATTTATTATAACTGTCAATCAAATTGTTAGCACAAATCACGCAGAAAATTTTCAGATTTGAGACTTTACAACATAAATAAACCGCCTTTTTATTTATTTAAATGGCATAGTAGCAAGAAATGTTACATTTAAAATGGAAGATGTTACTTAGAAAGCTGGCAAACGAAGAATTTGAAAAAATTACAGCTGACAACTGGAAGAAAGTGTGTGAACATATGGAAAGTGATTAATTATTGGTTGATGTTTCTGAACTTTATAATAAGTGTTAAGAACTCGGTTAAGAATGACAGTGATGATTCGGATTTGTCAATTTCATCTGACGATGATTCGGATTGTGAACTTTTACAAACGTAATGAATGTTCACTAAATGAGTATTATCACCAATTGGATATCATTGTTAAGATGTTGTATTTATTTTAAATAAATGTACACGTGTAGCTTACTTACTACAATTAGCACTATAATTTCAAAAAGAAAACCCACCGATTGGACATATGCCGAAAGGTAGGCAAGACGCGTAGCGACCAAAATTTGATATTGCACGCACACACAGTCTATAAATCTCGTTTTCCTAAGAATATTGCACGGATCCTTCTTTGTGATCATGATACAAACGCACTGCATCAACATCATATAGGCCAAAAAATGATAATTGGAAACGAATTCACTTCCTGTAACAACTCTCCGTTACCATTACGCCTAAAACCATGCAGTTAAAATTAAAATGTTGAACATAAACTTTACTTACTTACGGTTTTTTTTGATATTCTGCAAGCTAGCAATGAATTCACTGCAGCACATCATGCCAAACAAGGTAAACATAGTCGCAAATTTGAATGGCGTAGCTCTATGTAATAAAACTATTTCAGGAATAACAATTATGGACGCGTCTATCATTATGGCAAGCACTAATGTTATTCGTATTCAATTGATAACGCAATAATTACATAATATTTAGTGAAAAAACCGCCCATCATGTTTAGGGCGAATATTTTTAGTTAGATTTGATTTCGCGCGATCGTGAAATGTGTCAACTGTCACATGACTTATGAGACGCGCCAAGTTTGTTTTAAGCGTCCGATTCGCATACGACATAGTGGTTAATGCAATAAAAAGAGATAGAACATGTTTCTTCTTGGTTAGAAAGTAATGGAGAGATGTACAAATTTCTTTGATATGTTTTTTAAAAACCGAGGTACGTTTGTTAAGGATGGCTGTATCTAGGTATTTATATATCTATGTATAAAAACCATAGATATTTTTGAAGTTTTAACCTCAAATGCATAATGAATGTTTGTTTATTTATAGTCAAAAATTAAACTTTGTTATCATTCCTTTCTCGCTTACAGGTTTAAATTAGGGAACTGGCTACTGGGAGTGACAGGAAAGCGGCAGACTCAACTTTTGCGGAATATGATACTGTTTGCTCTGGGTCGTGCAATCGAAGACATGTAGTTCTCGATGGATGAGAAACGTTAGTATTGAATTCAGACAATACAAATTGAAAAGGGAAATGCTTTGTAACCAAAACAGGAGGAAACCGTGGAGATCTCGCAAAAAACCCATTCTAATACAATTCAAACTTCTCAAGGTTAAAATCGGAACGATTACATGATTGCAGCAGCTGGCGATGGTGCGAAGCTGTTCTTTAAAGAATTGAGCCTAGAGTTTATTTGATAGAACTACGGATATAGAAACGGTAGTGAAATTGGCAGCGAAATAAAGCAAAAGTGTTACGCAGTTTGCAATCATGAAAAAATGTGTTGTTTGTGCGATCTTCGTGTGAAAGTTGTTGTAAAACGGTTCAGTTTAATGTACCTGTTATTGAGATTGTTCTTCCAAGGGCTTTAAATAAATTCCTATGCATAAGAAGTTACGAATTGCAAAAATAAATGTTTTCTGTTCATTGAGCATGATGTGTTGCCTACAAACCAGGCTACACAAATATCGAGTGCCCATATTCAAATTAGGGATTTGCTTGAATCTCCACAATCTGCCGTTTTTATTGAGGGTAAGGAGGGCCTCCACGAACGAATGGCCCAGGGCCCCGAAAAACTTAAAAACGGCGCTGCATTTAAGGAATACTAAGTGCAACATTGCTATTAATCGCATAGATTCAAATAAAATTTTAAAAGGTGCGTACGTGGCGACATCTCAACTAGACTTCTAAAACTATAATTGATAGAAAGTGTATCGATTGCCATGGAGATGGCGCACTAGTACTTATTGTATTTAATCTATCTATTCAAAAACCGGGCCTTTAAACTACAATTGCTCTACAGATCTTGCAAGACTCCATTCATTTTGAACTGCTATTTAAGGAATAATAAGTGCAACGTTGCTATTAATCGCATAAATTTGAATGAAATTTTAAAAGAAGTTGCATACGTGGCGACATCTCAACTAGACTTCTAAAACTATTATTGATAGAATTATCGATTGTCAAGCAGATGGCGCACTAATACTTGTTGTATTTAATTTATCTATTCAAAAACCGGGCCTCTACAGATCTTGCAAGACTCCGTACATTTTGAACTGCCATTTATTCAGACTTCTCAATCAAAAGTTATAGACTGGAAAGCAATTTCGAAAGAAAATTCAAAGGGCTGTAACTTTTGAACTAGTAGCCCAATCTTGGAACTGTTTGAAATTATGGAAATTTATAGAAATTCGACGTGTTCTGGAGAAATTAAAAAATGCATATCGTACAAAGGTATAGCCTGAAGAAGTGAAAAAAATTAGGCTGCTTAGATTATTTAAAGGCGCTATGGCAATGGGCCGCAAGACATTAGGACACAGACATTGGGATGCAGGCATTAGGTTGTTGCACTTAAAATAAAGCAAGGAGCCATCAAATTCGGGTTTTTTCTCCACGACCCGGACCCCCCACCGAGGGGCGACGCGTCAGGGTCACGTCTGCGATCTATTCCCTTTGCGGTTTACTGTCTTGCGGCCTAATGCCCGGTCCCGTATTTAAAATGTGCAGTGAACAAACTACGAAAAATATAGCAGCCTAGTTGTGACATTTAAGACTGGCACAAAACCCCAAGTATCATCACAGAACCAAGATCATTTCCATACGACTTTTTCATTTAAGAAAAGGTAACAAGAAAAAACTTAGAATACAACAAAATCAAATAGCCATCATGATCATACCATTGCCACATTGAATCTCGTCGGTCATCTGCTTGGTCAGATAGACATCTGTAGTCTAGTAATGACAAGAACTGCTTTCTACTCTGAGAAAGAAGAGAGTCTGTAATATTTTCATTTAATAAGCAAACTTAGTATGGAATTACACTTTATTCAAGCACTTGATACCACAGAGTAACAAAAAAGATTCATGCATATAACAATGAGATCTTAAATTACAATTATCTGTCAATTATTTTCCTTTTTCATTGTACTGTGTTTACTTCTAATATGGGTAAGTAAGGAAACTTTCTGCCTAAATCCAGCCGTGCAAATGTCACAATGATAAGGTGTTTCCAGAGTGTGCTGCCTTATGTGCGTCTTTCTCGCATACGGACTGGAAAATCCTTTTCCGCAATACGAACACTCATAAGGCCTAGCCTTTTTATGTGTCATAGTGATGTGTTTATTTAAATCGTAATTGGAGAAGAACTTCTTCCCGCAAATGTCGCATTGATGATTTCTAATCCCTGTATTAGCTCAAAGTGAGAAGAGACGTTACAATTTCGACATACCTACCTAAGTGAACGTTCCTAAAATGTGTATTATAGTGATGCGTGGACTTAAATTCCTTCCCACACTCCTTGCATTTGATTTTGGCCTTTTTCTTATGTGCATAGTTCATATGACCGCGCAAACTTTCCTTGTTCTTCGCGAGTTTACCACATATTTCGCATACCTCCGGTGAATCCGTATGTATCTGAATGTGTTTTTTAAGATTGTCTCGTCTCATCACCACCTGACAAAACGGGCAACTATCAACTTTATGCTTGGCCATATGCTGCTGTAATGATTTTTTCGAGCTAAACTTCGCACCGCACTGTAAACATTCGAAATCTTCAGATTCCGACGATACTTCGCCCACTTGAGAATCGTCTAAATCGTAAATAATTTCGTCACAATTTTCCAAAATGTCTTTTGTGTTGTCTTCACTTTCATCCTTTTTGTAGTCTAACATTACAAGATCGCTTATCTCTAATGTACTGGAGGCTCGTGAGGAGTTACTGTTCAGGTCATCATCAAACCGTTCTTCGCCTGACGAAGCTTCTTCTTTAATCTCCTGCTTCATCTGCAAACCTTCAGTGTCTACGAGAAATTGTAAGTTATCAGAGGTCAAGCTCAGTAGCGTTTCATTTGCTTTGATGATGGTTTGTTGAAATTTGTAGGACGAGTAAACGTTTGCCGCACATGATTCGCAGCAGGTCTGTGGTAAGTTGTCGCCTTTGGCGATCTGAAACAGTATTTTCTTAAAAATTAAACTGTGCTTAACGTAAAAGACCTACCTTTATTGATGTTAATGATTCTATTTTATTCAAAATGCCACCTGTAAATAAGGAAACACAAAGTTCCGAGTTTTTTAAACACAAACGACAAAGTTGCATTTTGGTTTTAGTCTTCAAGGTTTATAAAATAAACAGATATTTACAAATTAAATGACACGATATGAACAACAAACGCCATCTTTCACGTTTTTGGTAATTTTTCTTTGAAAAAGCTAAATTCCCTAGAAATAAACAGAAGAATACCGCGCCTTTAACATTACAAAGTAGGCAGCATGTACACTACCATGTATGATATGTTGCATACCTGGACATTTCCTTTCACAATTTCAAACTGAGTGGGTTGGATAAATCTTCATCTTCACTCTTCTCGCAATCTACACTCGTAGCAAAGATAATACTACACTATGACCTTTGCTCGTAGCGAGTCAGAGGGGTAAACGTTTCAACCCAAGTTTGCTGCAGCGGCATCCTCCAGAACATTGTATAACATCTTTGGCTGAACTGAAATCCTACCCACTTAAAAACTATAGGTCTGCTTGGGCAGTACGATAATGCTTTTCAAAATGGCACAGTGTCGATAACGGTTCCCTTTGGATACTCCACGACCTCCGAGTGCTGTCCCCTTTCCTTTGCTTGGCAGCAAAGCCCTGGGCAACTGGCGAGACCGCATTTCCGCACTACTCCTGGTAATTCTATGGACGATTTCAAACCAATCAAGCCCTTTCTGGGCTCCTCATCACGGGGGACGAACAAGCCGGGCCTTCAAAAGAGGTCCGGTAACGGGGCAGGTTCCTCGAAAGACGCAGGCCCTTATTCAAGTACCTGGTGGTGGGCCATCCCTAATTCAAAAGAAGAATAGGACTGGCGTGAAAAAGTTGAGGGCGCCCGGAAGCCCCGGCCCGAGGTTCTAGAGTTGCGGGTACACCATGAACCTACGGGCAAGTCTCGGCGGCGGGGCTCAGGGTGGCCATTGTTCGGGTGGCACAGCCAGGAAGTGGACATCACTGAGCCTCAGTCGAGGCATGCCCGTAGCTAGGGTGTGGCCATGGGGGGCTGAACCCCACCTAGAAGTAGAACGTGGTCTTGCCCCCACTGGAAGTTACGGTTTATGGTTCGTTTACAAAAATTACAAGGGAAGTCTTTATCAAAAGCCCCTTCCAGAAAAATACCGGCCACCCCTGCAACCTCATTCTGGCTATAGGGGCCTGAGTCGAGGTGCATTATGACTGCATTGAATGCAATTGTTGATGAAAAGGGGGGGGGCTTCTTGTACTCCGGTTGCGCCAGATAAGGGAAAGGGCTCCACGGGAGCAGCGGAATTACTATACCGGCGCACTTTAGAGGTCGAGAAAGATTTCGACCAGCTTTTGGCTCCGATTAGCGGTCAGAACCGTCGGCATCACTAGAGGAAGGGGGAACCTAGTACATCAGTGATGGAGGAGGCAACCTTCTAATAGAGTAATTTGCAGCACGGTACGGGGGCGACCTGTTTAATAGGCTGTCAACTTGCGTCAAAGCGTAAGACTTCGGCTCACATGATCACGAGTTGGAGTCTGTCTGATGAGCCGTCGATTTCGAGCCACAGGTACATTCTTGTCCAACAAAAAACCTGCAGGTATCCTACTGCGGACCCTGTAGGTTTCGGAATCCCCGATCTATTGACTGGACCTGCTAAATGCCGAAACCTTTGCTCTATCGGAAACCGGGGTAGGTGAAAGAGAACACCTTGGTCGAACTCGGGCCTTGAAAATGTTCGTAAATAAGGAGGTTCGCAGGAGCTTTAATAAGACCATGCGAACAGGGCCGTATTTAGGCGGTGGTGAGATGGGCGGCCGCCAAGTGCGCAATATTGGTACTGAAGAGACATCGCAATACACGATGGTCCTCCAGGCGTCAAGCCGTGACGGCTCTTAAGAACAACTTATTATCAGTACACAACATTTTAAAGAATATGACTGACAGTAGTGTCTTGGAAATTCCCAGCTGTTGAAAAGGCTGACGATGAATCCCACTGGTTGATTGCTGAAAAATCTTTTTAGAGAGAGTGTTTCGTTGTGTTTAATAGGATTAAAAGTGAAATGGATAAAAGGGCAAACATCTACCATTCGGTTTCATCTGATTTTAATTTTTTATCCGGAAAGTCTAAGTGAGTTTTCTGATTCTCCTCTTAAAAAGTGTGCAGCTGATCTTGGTACTAAGTACGCCAAAGATTTAGATACCTACATTAGAGCTTGTGAACGAAGTAGTTATTAAGCGGCAGAGCAAAGCAATGCAAGCTTTATAGGGGAGTCAATGGTGTCCGTCTGTCCGTGAACACGATAACTGTCAAATGGTTCAAACTTTACACAGTAATAAGCCTATTGAAAATGGGTCAAATCCAATGACCCCGTGGGGTCACGTTTCTCTGTCCCTGCCAAACGCTTGAACCTATTCGGTTGAAACTTTGCACAGTAGACTTATATGCCACATGTAACAAGTCTATTGAAAATGGGTCAAATCCAATGACTCCGTGGGGTCATACCGAGGGGATCTGCCGCTTTTTTAAACGCTCTTTATGGGTTTATTTTCAAGTACCATGCTAAAGAGCTGATAAGCGACATCAATAGGCTTCTCATTTGGACGTCCTAAACAATATTTCTGATTATGACTCGCTTATCCGAATATTGAAATTGCGTTGCGGATATTTTTAACAATGCCTGTCAGTGTGGCCTATTGTGAGCGGTCATTTATCAAGTTAAACATGATAAAAAAACTATTTAAGGTCAAGCTCGAGGTCAAGTATGTCCTAAAACAGGTTGACAAACTAATATAAAATACGAAATACGACATTGCGTCTCAAATCGATTTTAATGACATCATCGACGATTTTGTCCTAGTAAAAGCACGAAAAGTACACTTTTGACTTTCTAACCTTTAAGTATACAGGGTGGTGCACGGTAAGTAGAAACATAGGGATTTAACATGGGAAATTAGTTTTATGCAAAATCCTGCCCTCCTGTACATTTTACAGAAAAAACTGTAGAGTTTAAATTTGTTCAGAATTAAAAGATGCATACAAAACTGTTCGACTACACCAAAATTTCTCGGGAAAACACTTTTTCTTATTAATTTTGGTGTGTAGAATTCAAAACAATTCGTACTTTTTCGATTAGACTTCTCAATCAAAAGTTATAGACTAGAAACCAATTTCGAAAGAAATTTCAAAGGGCTGTAACTTTTGAACCAGTAGCCCAATCTTGGAACTGTTAGAAATTGTGGATTCTACAGGCCACAATCTATAAGAAAATTTTTTTTCCGGTCGATCCGAGACAATTTTTTCTTCGGGGCTCAAAAAAAGGCAGTGTATAACCTTCCTTTTTTACAAAAAATCGACTACACCAAAATTTCTCGGGAAAACACTTTTTCTTATTAATTTTGGTGTGTAGAATCCAAAACAATTCGTACTTTTTCGATTAGACTTCTCAATCAAAAGTTATAGACTAGAAACCAATTTCGAAAGAAATTTCAAAGGGCTGTAACTTTTGAACCAGTAGCCCATTTACATGTTTCATTAAGCTTTTGGTATACCCACAAATTTAAAAATAAGTTTTTACATTTATGTTATTAGTAGCAATAGACATTTGTTGTTTTATGAATTGCCATTAATAACAGAAATGTTGAAATTTATTTTTAAATTTGCGGGTATACCAAAAGCTTAATAA